GGCCAAACTCACTGCCATCGAATCGATTCCAACTCATAGCAACCCTTCCTTTGGTTTCTGAGGCAGTATCTCCATGGAAAGAGATTGCCCAGTTTTCCTTACAAGGAGTGGCTGGTGGGTTTGAACCTCCAGTCTTCCAGTTAACAGTCAAATGCCTTAGGCACTAAGCCACCAGAGCTCCCTATGTTATATATATTTTGTTGTTGTTGTTATGTGCCGTCGAGTCACACCCGACTCATAGCGACCCCTCCTTGGGTTTCCAAGGCAGTATCACTACAGAAGTAGATTGCCCCATCTTCCTTTCGAGGAGTGGCTGGTGGATTTGAACCTCCAGCTTTCTGGTTAGTAGTCAAGTACCTTAGGCACTATGCTACCAGAGCTCCCATATATATTTTACCACAATAAAATTGAAAAACAACAGCACTGCAGCAGACAAAAATACTGTATCAGTCACCACAATGCAAATGAGGCACAATAAATTAAATTATTGTTAAAAAAGAAAAAAAAAAGTGATGCATGAACTTGGCAGAACAGTTCAGACAATACAAAAGGGTAAAGAATGATACATCTTCCTCCAGGCCCAGAACTAGGCCCCAGGCTTCCAGCTCCCTTCCCCAAAGGTAACCACCAGTATCATTTTCTCAGGAATCCTTCCAGCACAGTGACCACCTCTCCCTGGTTTGCCTGGGACCTTCCCAGCTTCACCATTGAACATCCACATACTGGGAAATCACTCAGCACTGTTTTAGAAGCTGAAGATACGGCAGTAACAAAGGCCAACAATCCCTGTCCTTGTGGAGCTGACACTCCAGTGATTACGTGTGTTTAGCCATCCCTGTTTGTCCTTGACGTTGCTTCTAGTGTTTTGCTACTATGACTGATGCTTTTCTGGGCATCCTCATGGGTGTATCTTTCCCACAAACGACTATGTCGACAGCAGCACCACCCAACAGAACGGTCTGTGATGATGGAAGTGTTCTGTATTTGTACCACTCAATACACAGCCACTGGCCACATGTGGCTATTGTGAGCTTCATCCGTGGCTCGGAGACTGAGGAACTGAGTTTTTAGTTATGTTTAATTTTAATTTATTTAAATGTAAAAGTACCACATGCACTGGGCAAGTCTGTACGAAAAAAAAAAAAAATTCTAGAAACAGAAATGGTAAATCAGAAAGTGTTTGCCCATGAAAGAGGTTGTGTTTTTTGTTGTTATTATCGTGCTCTTGCTGTGTAACAAATGACCACAAACCTAGCAGCTTAGACAACACACATGGGTTATCTCACAGCTTGTTGGTGAGGAGTGTGGGCACAGCTGGTCCTCTTTTCAGGTTCTCACCAGGCTGCAATTGCGGGGTCAGCCAGGCTATGTTCTCATCTGGAGGCTCGACTGGGGAAGAGTCCACTTTCAAGCTCAAGCTCACTGGCAGAATTCATTGCTTTATGGTTGTGGGGCTGAGGCCCTGACTTCTTGCTGACTGTTGGCTGCACTTAGTTCCTCAGTATATGAGTCTCCCAACAAGGCTACTTCTTCAAAGCCAACTAGAGAAAGAGAATCTCTAGAGAGATATATAACGTAACAATCATAAGAGTGGTACCGATCACCTTTGCCTTATTCTGTTGGTTACAAACAAGTAGCAGACCCTGTCCACACTCAAGGACATGTATTATGTAAGAGCTCAGACACCAGGACCAGAGTCTATCCACCACCAAGATTATGCCAATAGACACACCCAGCAAAAAATATGCAGGAGACCCAGTTTTCCCGCAAGGACTTATTTTCAATTATTTGGGGGTATAGGTGTTGCTAGCATTCCCCAATCTTTTCCTGGCAAACTCCTACTCATCCATCAGGCTTCAGCTAATGTCACTTCCTTAGAGAAGCCCTCCCTGACCACCCTACACTAGAGCAGGTCTCCCTGCAATTTGCCTTAGTAGCACTTACATAAGGAGCTCTGGTGGTGTAGCTTTTAAGGCATTTGGCTGCTAACCAAAAGGTCAGTGGTTCAAACCTACCAGCTGCTCCGCAGGAGAAAGATGGGGCAGTCTGTTTCTGTAAAGATTTACAGCTTTGGAAACACAATGGGGGTCACTATGAGTTGGAACGGACTCGATGGCAGTGAGTTTGGGTCTTGTTTTTTTTTTTTTTTTTTGGTTTAGCCTTACCACAAGCTACTTGAATAAATTTTTAAGCATCTGTTCTCCCCTGCCCCCTACTGCCTTTCTCACTCACACTGTATCCCCAACACCCTATAGAAGGCCTGGCATGCAGTCGGCCCACAGGGACTCTGTTGCCTAAATGAATGAATCTCCCTTGACAGTAAAAATCAAGCTTGCAAAGCCCTGGGTCAGGACCTCTTCCCCCCTCCAGGCTCACAGCAGAACCCTAGGCAGACCTTCCAGAACGCAGGCAACTGAGCCAGAATCTAAAGAGGAGGAAGGGACTGTTGTGGGGAAAGGGGAAAGAAAGGTTCATTATTTTGACACATTATTAGGCTGATTGTTGATGAAAAACATCAAGTCTGAACGTGGGGAAGGGGGGGCTGGCAATATATTTGCAAGCCAAGAGAAGGGTCATTGTTTTTGTCATTGTGTGCCATCAAGTTGGCTCCAACACATAATGATCCCATATGACAGCAGAACTGTCCCATGATTTCCTAACCTGTAATCTTTACGGGAGCAGATTACCGGTCTTTTCTTGCAGGCAGGTATTTTCACCAAGGATGCCTAGAAAAAACGGGACCAGCATGGACTGTTCAGTCTAGCCTCAGCACCGATGAGGTGGGGTGGTGGGAAATGGTGTGAGTCGGTAGCTCTCAGTGTGGCCTCCAACCAGCAGCATCAGCATCACTTGGGAAACTGTTTAAAATGCATGTGTTCAGGCCAGTGGCGGTTCAAACCCACCAGCCACTCCTCGGAAGGACGACTGGGCAATCCACTTCCACAGAGACACGGCCTCGGAAACCCAAGGGGTCACTATGAGTCGACTCAACTCGATGGCAGTGAGTTTGGTTTTGGTGTTTAGGCCAGTGTCAGATTACTCAATAAGCAAGGTAAGCACAGGCTTACTCGTGCTTACTTACTAATCTGTAGTGAACAATTCCACATTTATCCACCACATCAGAGATTCTGCTTCTAGGGATGGCTGGCCTCTGTCTCTCTCCCAACTCCACAACACCTTCCCACAGAATCAAAGCGTCTTATCAAATTTACAATCCCCGATGGGGTGGAGTACCCAGAGCAAGGTAAGCGTGGCTTGGTTGTGCTTACTTGTCTGTAGTGAACAGTTTGGGCTACAGATGTGCTTGTCTTGCTTGTTAGGTAACCTGCCCTGCCTTGGGGCCATAGCCAGACCTTCTGCATCAGGAACTCTAGACAGAACTTACCCATCCCTGTTAACTAGCCATCCAGGTGACTCTGATGCAAGCTGGAGTTTGAGAACTCTGGGAGCCCTTGAATTCCCATGTGCTGCAGCCAGACGCATGGGTTCAAATCCCGATCCTCATTTTCTGTTTATGTTAAATAGGCAAGTTAGCCTCTCTGTGCCTTGGTTTGCATAGCTGTAAAATGGGGATGATAATAATAGAGATTGTTGTGAGGATTTATTCACATGCAGTGCTTAGAACATTACGCACAGAAAAGCATTCACTGTTAATATTATTTCAGTCCCACCCTCATGTCTCTGTGACTGAGTGTATAACTGGGAGCCGAATCAGAGCCCAAATCAGACACTCTGATGCAAAGGCCAGGTCTCGGGCTCCCATGGCCCCACCACCATCATTCTGGCAGCATCCCTACAATGCCAATGCAGGGCCTTGTAAATACCCACAGCACCCCTCTGCTCCCTCCAAGCCACCCTCATCCCCAAAGGGGAGACTGGGCACATTTGGCTGGGAAGAGAGCAGGTGCATGGTGACTGGCACAGGAACAAGAAATAGTAAAGAGTAAGTGAACTGCCAACATAGCCAAGTTGTTTATTGGTGAAAAGGTGCCCATTATCAGCTAGCTAAAATGAACCCTCCTGCGGTCTCCACTACAAGCAAAACCAACCCCAAGGACGTGGAGTGAGAGAAAGGAGGGGAAATTTTGTATTCAATTAACCTGGCTTATCAGACATGATTTATTTGTCCTGTGTGGCCTTTGTGGCCTTTCAGGGTGGAAGTTTAACTAATCATTCTTTTCAAATTAAGAGAACTATGTAGAATTTTCAGCAGAGCTAACCTGAAAGATACATCTTTTGCTAAATGGGCTGCACACTGGGGTCAGTTTAGTGAAATGGGAAGAGGAAAAGCCGGTCTCCAAACCACCTGGGGTCTAGGTCCGCTCCTTTCTTGTGTGTCTGAGATTTACTCCATGTCTCTCACCTGATCATGTGATCGTCATGTGAACACAATAGGAACCAACATTCCCTCTACTGTCTCTTGCCCTAGGAAGTCTAGGTGTGGTGGCTAGCCTGTTTTTAACACCTCTCTCGTGATGGCCAACCTCCCTTCTCAGCGGCAACGATAGGCAGCTGGAATTAATATTGTTTTGTCTTCATTGTATTTATTTTTACAGCTCCCATCTATACTATTCATATCCTATTTGCAGGACAGGAGTAATAGCAGATTTTCCTTTAAAGTTCGTTTGCTTGCATTTAAAGAAAAAATGACGCGATTTAAAGAAACATTAAATAACAATATAACTGGTGTTGAGCGATTTGTATCAGAGAAACAGTGGCCGACGCACAAAGCTCGTCCTAATCCGGCCAGCCTCGAGATCTGTATTCCACATTTTCCAGATTTTCCTCTGTTTCTCCCTCCACGCGGAGGGGCTAGGCGGTGTGGCCCACCCAGAGCCCCGCCCCCAACCGGTTTTACGGCCCACAGCCCCACCCCGAGTGGCCCTGATCCCTCACAAGCCCCGCCCCCGCCCGCTCCGGCACCGCTAGCTCCGCCCCGCGCTCGGGCACCTCCCCCTCGGGTTCCTTCTCAGTCGCCGTTGCACCGCGCTCAGTAACACCAAGATGGCGGCGCAGCAGCAACTCCGTGAGGGCGGTGCGCAATTGGCTGGGCCCGCGGCGGCGGTGGCAGCAGACCCCCTGGGCCGCTTCACGTGTCCCGTGTGCTTGGAAGTGTACGAGAAGCCCGTGCAGGTGGCCTGCGGACACGTGTAAGCGGCAGAGCCGGGTTTGGTCGTGGGACGCCTAACTAGGAGGGGTATGAAGCCAGGAGCGAGGCCCGGATAGGAGGCGTCTCGGGGACAGGAGCATCGCCCGGAGCTTTGGGGCTTTTCCTTGGGGACCTTCGGGGCCCCTGAAGGCCCGTGGAAGTTGCGGGGCGCTCTTCTGCTCACCCCCAGATATCCGGCCTCTCTGCCTGCGTTAGTAGGACGTTAGCCACTGTCTTGAGCGCCTACTTGGTTTCAGGCGGCCTGTCAGGCTCCCTCCTTCATATGACCGTGGAGTCACAAATGGTTCGGGTCTGGGTGGGGTAGGGTCTACCGTCCGTACTCGGAGGACCAACGTTTCTTTTGAGTAGTCCATATCCATCGCCCTTAGACTAGACTGTGTGTGGCATTACCTATCTAATTCTGCCAGGTATTTCTAATCGCTAAAATTGGAAAAATGCGGAACTAGACCAAAAGAAGTTTGTGCCATATGGCCGGCCTGCCCGTACTGGGAAGGGAGTTGGGGAGGTAGCAGACGGGGTCTGTTGTTATTTCTACTTGTGTGTGGGGTGTGTTTCGTTCTGTTTTAAGCCTCCGTGACCCGAATCCTGTTAAGACTGGTTACGATGATTAATAAAGATACCTGTGAAAATAACCTAGTGCACACCATGTGATCCGCAGCCTATACGACTATGAGACCAGAAGATGGTGCCGGGCTACTACTGCCAACCACTGGGGGTGGGGGGTGGGAATCGATGTAGGAGATCCTGGATAGAGAGGGAGAACAATGTGGAACAAAACTCAAAATCATTTGGAAAAACATAAGGCCCAGGATTGCTGGTCTGGTAGTATCTGGTGGAACCCCTGAGACTATGGCCCCTAGCTGCGCGTCAGGTCTGGGATTGAATCCACACTTGTGGCTTCCAGCCAAAAACATAGGCATATGAGTTGAACATTTACCTGAGGTAGATACACTCCTTGGAGAGATCAATCATGGGAGAAAGAAGTGCTGTTTATGCACAGGAGACAGCTTTGAGGTCAGGAGTGCATGGAGGGATGGACACAGGGAAGAGGTAACTATTGGGAGGAAGTGGGAAGGGGAGCTGTTGTATTGGGGTCAGTGTCAGGCAAAGTGTATGTGAACTGCTGTATGGAAAATGAATTTGCTCTGTAAATTTTCCAAAAAATCACAAAAAAAAAAAAATACATACCTAGTACAGGTCTCAGGCTGTGGTACATGCTCTGAGGTTGGGTGGATTTGAACCTAAGCCTTGCTCCATCAGACACATGTTGTTGTTGTTGTTGTTGTTATGTGCCATCGAGTCAGACCCGACTCATAGCAACCCCTCCTTGGGTTTCCAAGGCAGTATCACTACGGAAGTAGATTGCCCTATCTTCCTTCCTAGAAGTGGCTGGTGGGTTTGAACTGCCAGCCTTCTGGTTAGCAGTCATGTGCCTTAGCCACTGTGCTACCAGAGCTCCCCATCAGACACATAAACACACCTAAATTGAAAGAATTGTAGAAGACAAGGTCACTTTTTGCCACTCAGAGTTGACATCTCGTCCCTGGCCTCCCTCAGTGCTGATCCTGGGTATCGCCTTGGCATTGGTCTCGAGACTTCTTTGGGCACAGTGGCCACTTGATGGGCCTCAAGGGTATTCTTACTCCTATAGCAGTCCTTAAAGGGAAGAGGGTTGGCAGCCACTCTCCAGGTGAGGGGACTGAGGCTCACGGAGGTCGGACTCACCATTGCCTGACTCACCATTGCCTGACTCTTTGCAGGTGAACATGGAGGTATCTGTTTTGCTAGCTCGGAGCACAGTGCTTGGTGTCTAGTGAGGGCTCCCTGCCACGCTGGCTGCTTGTGCGTCTTTAAATCCCACTTCCAGCTGTTCCTGCTTGCTGCTCAGGTTGTCTGGAACTCTTCCTGCCCCATCCACACCTCCCCCTGCTACTACCCCAAATCCTTCTCAGCCTTCAAGTCCCATTTTAGTTACCTGCCTGATCACCACCTCCATCTAAATGAACCCCCTCTTCTTCCTTGCATAGAGCAAAACTGAGAGATCCTGGGGGCAGTGACCAGATCTGTTTTGCCTTTTGCTCTATCCCTAGCGTGTGAACATCCATCTACCAATCTTATGTTCAGTTGACTGGAATATTTGTATGTCCACTATGAGGTGAATAGTAAGAAACACATGATTCTGCCCTCAGAGTTCACAGCCAGTGAATTGATTCTAAATAAGCACTAATTTCTAATTTTCACACTACTGTGAAAATTGTGCAGTGGGAGGATATTACAGAGATCAAACCTGGGGGGTAGGGAGAGGTGATCAGGGAATGAATGAACAAAGAAATTAGTGGTGGAAGTAAGCTTCGTGAGTGTTGGAGTGGGGTCTAGGTAGCTTTCTCATTGAGTCTTATCCTTGGATCAGCCCTCCTTATCCTCAGGTTTACCTTATTTGGGATTGGGTCAGTGGATTTCATTTGCTATCAACATCTGTAAAGAAGAGCAGAATTTGAGGTTTCCTGAAGCCCAGTGAACCTCTCCTAGGTTAATGGGCAGTATTGGGATTCAAAACCTGGCTCTTCTATGTCGTATTAGTGCCACGTGTTCAGTGCTGATTGAAGACATGGAAGCACCTGTATGAGGGTGGTCTTAGCTCCAGCCATTGCTGCTTTCTGCTCTGCCTGGGTGGTTTTTGTTAAATTTGCGCTAGGAAACTTGGTCCTCACTGCAGTGCTGGCTAAGATGTTGGAGTCTTACAAAACTTTATTTCAAGCCCTGAATGACTACATTTTTTCTCCAACTTAGTGGAGTACAGCTGGTAAAGGGCAGGTGGCTGGGTGCCCGAGGAAGAGGATTTCTAAATAGCACTGTTACAGAAACAGTGGCAAATTTGGAAAGCTCAACTAGCAAAAGGGCCATGAATAGGAAACGGAAACTGAAAGCTAGCCCAAGATCAGGAACAGCTTCAGGCTTGTTATTGGGCATGACTCAGGCATGAAGTGGCTGGTGGATGTTTGAACAGTGTGTGCTGGAGGGGAGACGTGTGGAGGTGCTTTGTAGTTACATGTTGGGTTCGGTTTCCTAATGTTGTGCTCTCTTGGGTTATTCTCTTGATCTGCCCTTGAGAGGGGGCACGGGAACTGATAGCTGCAAATCCTGCCTGTCTCTCCCACTGCGTCCCTTTCTCCTCGGGGTCTACCACGTTGCAGCCCCAGAAGCCTGCCTTCCTGCTTTTTTGGACCCCCCTTGCACTTCTCTGGAAGTCTCTCTGTCCAGATCTGTGTGCCACGCTTGGAATTCCAGGTCTCAGCCCCAGTGTCGGCTCTTCAGAGGCTTTCACTATGCACCCTAGCTCATCTCTGCCTTGTTTTATTTCTTTTACTTAATCGCTACCTGTAACTAATGTTTGTGTTTTTCTCCACTCTCAACACTCCTGCCAAGAGTGTAAGCATCGTGAGGACAGAGACTTTGTCTAGTTCACTGGGCCCTCAGTGGTGAATGGATAGACTCCCTCACCAGCTCATCCCAGTCTAGAATTTTGCCCGGCAGCGTTAACAGCTAGCTTAATGACAAGCTAGAAGAAAATTCTGAGAGACAGTAAATACTAGTTATGCATGTAGAAAATTACTTTAGGTCTATATACTGAGTTCTTCCTGGCAGATTTTATTATCCTGCCATAACACAACATAAATCTGTATGTTGGATAACCCAATCAAACCCACTGCCGTGGAGTAGATTCTGACTCATAGTGACCTTTTTAGGTAGAGTAGAACCTGCCCCACAGGAGCTCTGGTGGCATAGTGCCTAAGGCATTTGACTGCTAATGAGAATGCTGGTGGTTCAAACCCACCAGCCACTCCTCAGAAGGAAAGCTGGGCAATCTATTTCCGTGATACCGCCTCGGAAAAACCCAAGGAGGGGTCACTGTGAGTCAGATCCAACTAATGGCAGTGAGTTTGGTTTGTTTGTTTAGAACTGCCCCACAGGGTTTCCAAAGCTATAAATCTTTATCGAAGCAGACTGCCCTATCTTTCCCCTGGGGAGTGGCTGTGGATTCAAGTTGCCAGCCTTTCGGTTAGCAGCTGAATGCTGTAACCACTGGGCCACCACAGCTTCCTAGGTGGATAAGCAGCCAGGATATTTCTTTCTTTCTTTTTTTTTTTTTTTTTAATTGTGATTTGGGTGAAGATTTACAGAGCAAATTCACTTTCCATACAGCAGTTCACATATACTTTGTCTCATGTCATTGGCCACAGTTTACCACAATGCAGCAGCTCCCCTCCCACTTCCTCCCCATACTTACCACTTCCCAGTGTCCATCCCTCCATATACTCCTGCCCCCTGAGCTGTCTCCCTGTGCATAAGCAGCTCTTCCTTCTCCCATGATTGTTTTCTCCAGGGCGTGTGTCTACTTGAGGTAAATGTTTAACTCACATGCCTGTACTTTGTTTGGCTGGAAACCACAGGTGTGGGTTCAATTCCAGACCTGAAGGGCAGCTAGGGGCCATAGTCTCAGTGGTTCCACCAGGCTCTATTGGGCCAGCAAACCTGGTCCCAACCATCTTTTTTTTTTTTCCCTCCAAATGATTTTGAGTTTTGTTCCACATTGTTCTCCCTCTCTATCCAGGATCTCCTACATCCCTTCCAAGTGGATGACAGTGGTAGCCAGGCACCATCTAGTTTTTCTGGTCTCATAGTTGTATAGGTTGCAGATCGGATGGTGTACCAGTCACGAGGACTGATTGTTTGAGGATATTTCTAAGCCTTATATTCTGTCCATATATCTTCTTTCAGGATTGTCACCCACCTGGTGCTCAGGGTATAGACTCGGTCATCTCTGACTTTCTGTCTTTCCTTCTCCAAATTCAGTGAGTTGTCAGGTCCTGCTGATTCTGTCCTGAATCATTACTTGAATTCATTCTCTGTTGACTCAGTCAGGTCCTCACAGTCCTTGCCTGTAGCCATCTGTTTGGCTTCTACTTCAAGTCTCTTCTTACCTCCCTTTATCTAAAACAGAGAGCCCTGTTGTCCATGATACCACCATAGTTACTTTTCTAAAACTTAGATGTGCTCTTGTTGATACCTTGCTTTAATCCTCTGGCTCCCTACTGCTTCTGTGGAAAAGTCTGTTGGATTTGTTTTTCCTTAGATGCATCTTGAATGCTTAAGCCAAGGGGCCTGGGACGTTCTTCCCTTCCTCTGCCAGCTGAACTCTTCGACTTAAGGCTGATCTAGATGCTGCCTCTGAACCCAGATTGGCACTGACCTTCTCCAGTCACCAGTAGTTCCTCTTGCCTTTGTGTCCTCATAGCACTTTGCATTCACCTCTGAGGACAGCAGTGCCCGCTAACTGTGCATTTCCTGTGTGCTGGACACTGTAGTGTCTGTTGTACATCCTCTTGGCAAAGCCTAGAGGGAGGTGTTACCTATGTCCATTTCACAAAGAAGAAAATAGACTTTCAGAGAACCCTACCGAGATCCCTCAGTGACAGGGACTAAAGTTTAAAATGTCAAGGTGTTACCCCAACCATGGTAACGGTACATTTGAATTATGGTTGAGGTAACACAAGGAGACCTGGTGGTGCAATGGTTAAACACCCAGTTGCTATCCAGAAGGCCACCGTTTCAAACCCACCAGCCAGAAACCAGAAAGATGTGGCAGTCTCCTCCCAGAAAGATTGCAGCCTTAGAAACCCAGTGGGGCCATTCAGTTCCATCCTACAGGGTAGCTGTGAGTTGGAATTGCCTCAGTGGCAGTGGGTTTGGTTTGGGCTTTGAGGTAACACAGTGAATTTCAAACCTTAGTCTCTTCCACTGAGGAGTCTTGGCAGGGTTCCCTGAAACTCTTCTCTGTGAGATGAGTAACAGTGGTACCTCCCTCTAGAATTTGTTGGAAGGAGGTTTAGGACATTTGTTGAAGAATATTGACTAAACCGTGGACTACTAAACAAACAAATCTGTCTTGGACGAAGAACAGCCAGATGCTCTTTAGAAGGAAGGATGGTGAGACTTCATCTTATGTACTTTGGACGTGTTATCAGGAGAGACCAGTCCCTGGAGGAGGCGAGGCCATCATGCTTGGTTAAGCATAGGGTCAGGGGAAAGGAAGAAGACCTTCAGTGAGATGGATTGACGCAGTGGCTACAACGGTGGGCTCTAACGTAGCAACCATTGTGAGAGTGGCTCAGAACTGGGCAGTGTTTCATTCTGTTGTGTACAGGGTCATGAGGAGTCAGAGCTTCGACAGCACCTAACAACAGCTTCCACCCCAACCATCAGTTTCCCATGTGTCACAATAGTTTGCATTTGTTTCTGTTGCTGGTTCCTTGTGTTCTTTGCAGTCTCCCTCCCCCGATTTCTCACGTAAGTGGAGTTAGTATTCGAATTGGGAGTAGGGAGCAAGTTGTTTTTAATCTGTTATTCAGTGATGTCTTTTTGAAAGTTTATCCGTTTTTGTTGTCTTGTCTCCACGATGCATGACATTGCTTCTCTGTGTGTCTTGTTCTAGCTTTTGTTCTGCATGCCTGCAGGAATGTCTGAAGCCGAAGAAACCTGTCTGTGGGGTATGTCGCAGCACTCTGGCCCCTGGCGTCCGAGCCGTGGAGCTCGAGCGACAGATTGAGAGCACAGAGACATCCTGCCATGGCTGCCGTAAAAATGTATGTGGAAGTGAAATGGAAGCATCAGTGTCTCTCTGAGATGGGGTAAATGCCGAGCTGTTGTAGCACCGTTTCTGAAGTTAGAGCGTGCATAGGTGACAGACAGCACCGTGCATGGCTGGTTACCTGTGCTGACGGCTGTGCCATTTCATTTTGAGGCTTCTCCTGGCTTACAGTCATGGCAGTTCTGCGAATTTCATAAAAGGCAAAAATTAATGTGGGCTTGTTCCCCCTCCACTCCTCAGAGTGTACCACTTTACAAGTGATTCGATTTAGAGGCCTGCCTTACATTTTCTTCTGCCTTTTGACACAGATGTAGAGTTTTTGCAAACACAAATACGGAACTGTTACAAAATGAGGTCGTGCTATAATTCGTACTTCTAACACTGATTCCTTTTAAGGCCTCTTTCCTCCCACAGTAGGAGCTCTGGTGGCATAGTGCCTAAGGCATTTGACTGCTAACCAGAAGGCTGGTGGTTCAAACCTGCCAGCCACTCCTCAGAAGGAAGGTTGGGCAATCTACTTCCGTAGTGATACTGCCTCGGAAACCCAAGGACGGGTTCGCTGTGAGTCGTCAACGGCAGTGAGGTTTTTTTTTGTTTTTTTTTCCCCCCTCCCCATGGTTTGGCTGTACCTTGGTGTCGCCCTCCTGTCAGAGTAGTTTAGCACTGGGCATGTGCAGGGAATGGTTGCAGTTCTGAATAGGGCTCCTTCCCGGCCCTTTTAATTGGGAGCCTCTTGGTTGGCAGCTCCAAGTCATCAGTTAGCTGGAGGAAGACAGGAAGAATCATGACAAGCCAGAGCTCAGATAGTGAAGTATTTTTCCTGGGTGTTTCCTTTAATTTAGAAACTGTAGATTATGAAATCAAGTCTCCTATTACTTCCATCTTTTCTTTATGTAGGCTCAAAAGTAGGGTTGGGTTGTGGGGTAGTTTTGGTTTTTTGTTTGTTTTTGGTATGGTTTTGATTTTTAAAAGATCAGTGATTGTGTGGGTATACTTCCAAAAATGTTTTCCTCCCCACTGACTCCTCTCTTCGTTCCTTGTACTTTTCTTTCTTTTCAGATGTCTGTGCTGAAAGTACTCTAACCCGGGTAGTTACCGTCTCTCTTGCCATCTTACCATTGCAAAGCCAAGATTTTTTAGGGAAAGTAGAATTCAGATTCTGGGTTTTTAAAGATTGTCCCAATTTGGCAATTAATACCTTAGCTTGGGTTACTGGCTTTTACTCTTTTTCCTTAAATAATGACTTTTCCTGCACAAGTGAGCAAAATGTGATTCTTGATTTCCTGTCAGGAGACTAGTGTAGATGCTAGTGGAGAAAACATAAGATTAACTTCACTGGGTTTGTGTGTGGCTGGGAGCAGAGCACATACCACAAGGTAAGCAGATCTCCGGGAGAATTACTTTATTTCAGAGGGGATGGTGTCGATTTGGTTGCGTGAAACATCAGCCTCGGTAGTGACGGAAATTCCGTAACTCACAGTCTGGGTTTCGGCCCCATGGGCACAGCCAGGAGTCTGCTGAGGTTGTTTGCCAGGGTAGCGTAGGCCTAGTTTTCATCTTGCCCTGGCTTTAAGGCTGTGCTGGGCCTGGTACGAGCTCCTGACTAACTTGTGGCATCTGATTCCTTAGTTCTTCCTATCCAAGATCCGGGCCCACGTGGCTACTTGTTCTAAATACCAGAATTACATCATGGAAGGAGTGAAGGCCACCACCAAGGATGCATCCCTTCAGCCAAGGTAAGAGACTGTCACTCCCTCAGGTGGATGTCATCCTATGCTACAAAGACCTTGGACACTCTGCATGTTCAGGATTTAGATGTATAAGTTTGGGAATGTAGTAACGGGATGATTGTGTGCTGGCTATAGCTGATCTGAGTTGTTTTTTATTTTTTTAAATGGGAGGAGGATGTCTCTGCAATGTTTATTTTTAATGTTAGCTCTGCCCTTAAGTTACGTTCAAAGCACTTGACCTGATTTCTGACGCAGTAATCAGAATCCTCGTCCTGATACATTGAGTGCGCTTAGCCCCTTGTTGGAGTAGTCAGTGAAGCTGTATGGAAAGAGTATTCCTGACACTTTTCCTCTTCCAGGAATATCCCAAACCGTTACACTTTTCCTTGCCCTTATTGCCCTGAGAAGAACTTCGATCAGGAAGGGCTTGTGGAGCACTGCAGATTATTACATAGCACAGATACCAAGGCTGTGGTAAGAGCAACTTTTATTTTTTAACTTTGTGTTATGAAAAAAAGCCCAGCTTACAGAAAAATGTCAAAATTAGTACAATGATGTCCTGTGTACCCTTTACCTAGATTCAAAATGAACATTTTGTCATATTTGCTTTGTTCTATGTATAAGGAGCTCTGGTGGCACAGTGCCTGAGGCATTTCACTGCTAACCAGAAGGCTGGTGCTTCAAACCCACCAGCCATTCTGCAGAAGCAAGACTGGGCAATCTGCTTCCGTAAAGATTTACTGCCTCAGAAACCTGAAGGAGGTTGCTATGAGTCAGAATCGACTTGATGGTAGTGAGTTGAGTTTATATATAAGGAGCTCTGGTGGTGCTGTGGTTAAAGCACTGGGCTATTAACCAAAAGGTCAGCGGTTTGAACCCACCAGCCACTCTGGGAGAAGGATGAGGTAGTCTGCTTCCGTAAAGATTTACAGCTTTGGCTACCCTATGGGGCAGTTCACCTCTGTCTTATAGGGTCTCTATTGAGTTGGAATCAACTTAACGGCAGTGGGTTTGGTTTCTGGTTTATTCTATATATACATTTTTTGCTGAATCGTTTGAGAATAAGCTGCATATATCATGACTCTTTACCCCTAAATATTTCAGTCTATTTCTACTTGAACAGCAAGGAGGCCACATGTTCTGACCACCTCTAATCCCACGAGAGGAAGACAGGATTACCAGCAGTAACCCAAGGCCTATTACTGCAAGGCCAGACATGCTGCCTCCCTCCAGCCCTTTCTCCAACCATTCCTCCCAAAGCACCACCTCTCTCCTGGGTTCGATAATTCACTGCAGTGGCCGCACAGAACTCATGGATTATGGGGTTTATTAGGGAAGCACCAGGCTACAACTCAAGTTCAGGAAGAATGCTCAGTCTCTCTCCAGCCCACCGTCCCTCAGCCAACAGTCTCTCACAGTCTCTTTCCCAGCAGTGCTGGTCCCTCGGTGTCTCACTCAGCGATGCGTGTCTCTTGCGTCTCTTTCCCAGCAGCACACGTCTCGTGTCTCATTCGGCAGCACGTCTTCCTCAACCAGTAGTCAGAGAGAGTTCTGCCTCCAGGAGGCCTCCTTTTGAGCCCAGGAGGGTGGTCAAACTAGCCAATCACAGCATCAGAACTCTAAGCACCTGAGAGAGAGTGGGACCCTCCCAGAGCATTGTATTGTGCCACGCCCAACAGAAATAATCCAGGTGGATAGCTTCAGCAATCAGGAGCTCCTCAGTTGTTCATAGAAAATCCCACCTTGGAGTTTACAAAGACTTATGGGTAGAAAAACCACACTAAGTAATTTACTACACTGCAATTTCTAAGAGGCGAATTCTCTTATAAAATTGTGTATTTTTGTGTATAATTATCACACTCAGGGTTTTTAACATTAACATAGCTTAACATCTCATGTGGGATTCATGTTCAAATTTTTATTGTAATAGCCTTCCTAGCCACTTCCCCTCCCTCCATAAATCCTAGATCCAGTGTGTTGTCATGTCTCCTGAGTCTCCTTGAATCTAAATATATCCTCAGCCTTTCTTTGTCTTTCTTGACATCTGTTAAGAGGACAGGACAGTATTATAGAGTGTCCTTCAATTTGGGTTATCTGTTTCTTCTCAGGATTAGATTCAGGTCATGCTGTTTTGGGCAAGGCTGCTATGTAAGTGATACGTCCTCTCTACGTTATAGATTATACGTTACAGATCTGTATTATAGATGATATGATATCTGTTGGTCCTCTTGGGACTGTTGACTTCAATCACTTGGTTAAGGATCAGCTGGTGTCCACCAGGTTTCTCCTGCATAAGCTGTCGTTTTCCTTTTAAGAGTAGCTTCTTCATAAAACCAAACCGTTGAGTCTATTCCAACTCATAGTGACCCCCATTGGGTTTCCAAGGCTGTAAATCTTTACAGAAGCAAACTGCCTCATCTTTCTTGCATGGAGTAGCTGATGGGTTCAAGACACTGACCTTTTGGTTGGCAGTCAAATGCTTTACCACTACACCACCAAAGCTCCTTAGCTTCATAGATGTGGGGAAAAAGGAGTTAGATTAAATTGTTAGGAAAAAGCTTATCAGTCCTGTGGCATTTTATTTAAATACCAAACACTGGCATGTAGTTTCTATAAAAAGAATACAAAGAGTTTAAATTTTGTCCTTTTTGTCAAGAAGATGTTACTCATCCCTCTTAATGTGATTGGCTGAAAACTTCCTCTTTAGTTTTGTTTTCCCATTTATTTTAGACAGTTTCTCGTGAACTATGTACCTGGTTCACTGGGCAGTCAGTTTTCAGCTTTGTTGCTGTAAAAAGTGATATACAGACTTGGGGATTTATTTGCATGACCTTTTGTAAGCATACCAGGGCAACTGTCATTGCCAATCTTCTTAGGCCTGGCAACATTATTTTTTCTAACATAAATCTTAGGGTACAGCCAGTTTATTGAAGAGCATAAATCCTCTCCCAACTTGAACTCCTTGTGAAGTCCAGATTCTAGTCAGTGCAGCCCACTCGTGACACAGGGCTCCCTGGCCTCTTAATGTTGTGCTGCAACAGATTTCAGACCTTTCTGTCTGCTTTCCCCACCTTCCCAAACTCTGGAACAGGGCCAGTTTAGTCGACAGTGCACCCATGTTTCAGTAATCCTTGTGGACCCCAGCACGTTCTGTAATGTCTAAATCTGTTTTCATTAAGCTCCCAACATGAACTGTCCCATCCTTCCCTAATGTAAGCTGAATCCTGCTCTTAACTAAGAAATTCAGATCATCAAGTGTGTGTTCTTTATCTTCCCTCTCATCTCAGGAGCTCTCCAGTCTACACACTAGCATGACTGGCCCACGTGTGCTTATTCTCTGACCCTTAAAAGTCAGAACATTTCTCATTGTTGATACTCTACATTTCAAAAATTAGAAGTTCTGGCAAAACTCAGCCAGCTCTGAAAATTTACTGCTCTCTCAAGATGGGATGTGTGTCCTCACTTACACCCAGCCGCTTCATTTATCTGCCTTAGTAGCTGGTACCTGGAAACACTTGGCATTTGTAACCATTACTCCTTGTCCCTGTCCTTTCCGGCTGTGTCGGGGAAGAAAGGCTCCTTGTCAAGTCTAACTCTTGTCCGCCAGCACTCTCAGGTCTTGGTGAAGGACCGAAAGAGAGTCTAGCACAGGGTAAGAACTCAGTGAGTGTTACGGATTACTGAGGCTTCCCTCACCCTGTTTCTTCTCACCTCTAGCTTTTCTCTCTACCTGCCTCTTACCTTTAGGTTCCTTCACACATCCTCAGGCCCTCAGGACTGATTCATGGGAGGCATATTTGTTCTGGCAGTTTCTCTAGAGAGCTTTTTCTCTCTCCCCTCCAGCTGTGAGTTTTCAGCTGCTGCTGTCTCTTTCCTGCCCTCTCTGGTATCCCCTAGAGTCTGGCCTCCACCCCTCCATGCTGTTGACATCACCTTCTGGTCCCAGCTGCTTGTCTTAGAGTTCCTGTTTTCTTTCACCTCTTAGTAGTGTGGAAAATTTCTTTGGTATGCAGTCAGTTCATTGTGTAAAAGGCAAACTGTAAAACGTGTGTTTCCATCCTTCCCCTGAACCCTCAGTTCCTGGTCACAGCATCGTCCCCGGTGTTTCTTTCTAGTCTTATGTTTTAGTCTGTGTTCAGATTTATTAACCTATGAAGAACCTATTCTATTACCACTTGCCATTTTAGTATAATAAAAGTAAACTCTGGAAAGTAAAACATCACACCGTGGTGGCTGGCCAGTCTTTCATGAGATCAGACAGCTACAGAAACTGTTTTCTGCTCTGAAATAATTAGCCTCAGTATTTGACACTGGTAGCCATCTTTCTGATACATCTTTATTACACAGATGATTGAAACTCGTGTGAGTGGGGCCAGGTTTGAATGGGCATTGTATTCATCTCCTAGGGCTGCTGTAGCAAATACCACAAACTAGGTGGCTTGAAAAACACATTGTCTCGCGGTTCTGGGGGCTTTGTGTCGGAGATCAAGGTGTTGGCATTGATTGCTTCTGACCCTTAGGGGGAGAATCTGTTCCTTGCCTCTCTCCCAGCTTCTGGTGGCTCCAGGTAATCATCCATCCTTCCTTTGTCTCCGTGTCTGTATCTCCTCTTTTACAAGGACCAGTCATACGGACTGGGACCCACACTACTGCAGTATGAGCTCATGGTAAGCCAGCAGAAACATCTTCAGAGACTTCTTTCCAGGGTCACAAGCACAGGTTCAGGGGTTAGGACGTTAACATCTATTTTCGGGAACACGATTCAGTCCCTAACAGTCATGATTCCTGTTTTGCTTTACTTTGTGATGTGAGAATGACTGCACAGTCCATATTCTTTAGGTGCACTGGGCAAGAGAAAATATATATATTTTCTGAAAATATATTCTCTGAAAAATACCCCAAAGCCACGTTTTCAACTCCATCTTTTTTTTTTTTTTTTTTTGTTTTTAATTTTTTTTTTTTTTTTTTTTGATGTTTCCTGCATCATTCAATATTTTGCCCATAGAATCTTTCAATATTGCAATTTGGAGCTTGAAATTTTGACTGCAGTTCTCCACAGTGTAACAGCTCTCATCCCACTTCCTCCCTGTAGTTGAAGGAAACTTTCTTTGTTGGTTATGAGGGATGGGAGGGTAGGTGCGAGAACACTGCGAGGTAGATAGAGGCAAGTATTGATTTGGGTGAAGGGAAGGGCAATGTACCAAAAGTGAGTGAGCAACACAGTGGCACTGAGGAAGAGGAACACACAGAGAGGTACACAAGATGTGCAGACAGCAAAGATAAACCCTTTTACATATACAATACTGCATTGTCAGTGATAAACATTAATCTGCAGGTAAATAGGAGACAGGCTGAATGATCAGGTATATATAGGCATGAGCAAACGGAAGGAGCAGTCAGGACATTAGACGACGTGTAGCATTGGGAAAGTCAACTG